TATATATATATATATATTATATTATATTATAATGCATCGTATACATACGTAGAAAACTACCGTACGTAGTAGTATATATGTTATGACAGGTAAACAGATTTCCACAAATTTGCAGTTTCACTAATGATTCATTACTCATTCAATAACAGATAACGGTGGTGCAACTTGGGGTGCGGCTTCTAATTGGCCACTTCGCGGATATAAGAAAGGCCTGTTTGAGGGCGGCATTCGAGCCGTTGGATTTGTCAATAGTCCATTACTTTGTTCTAAAGTAAGAGGAACAGTGAACGAGCAACTCATACATGTCACAGATTGGTTTCCAACAATCCTCAAAGGCATTGCAGGCGGCCGTCTGTCCGGAACAAAACCCCTGGATGGCATCAATCAATGGCCAACCATAAGGTACTTAATTAGGCCTATACCTGTATAGTTGGATAATAATTATCATTATTAATATCATAATACAGTATTTCAATATCCTGAAAACATATCACAATAAAGCAACACAAATTATTAATAGATTAATATTGTTGCACATTCATTGATACGAAATGTGGTGATTGGTTGTTGGTTGATGAATTTATTAATTTTTAAACTTAAATTTTAATATTTGTATTATAGCTTTTCTTGTAACCCTGTATATGCTTGAATTTTCTTATACACTGACCTGAATTTTATGTTACATTCTTTTATGAAATTTTAGAGGTTTTTGGAATAAAGAGTGATTTAAAAAAAATAAGTGTATAAATAACCATAATAACTAATTGGGCCTATTATTATGACTCGAGCGGATCGACAGTGGACCGACTCGAGCAGACAAACCATGTGTCAAATTCTGGTCGACGGGCTAGAAGCAGCCTGGAAGGCGTGTAAGCCCGACTGATGGGCTTGCCAATTGAGGCCTATGCTAGGCCTCGTTTGACCGATGGATTGGAGAAAAATAATAATTGAGAATTAATATAGTGCAAATTTTAAAACAATGTTAAAACTAAATGCAGATTTTAGAATGTTTTTAATGTTTTCCGGCCGTATATCTCACAATCTGCTGTTCCAATTTAAAAAAAATAAATAATTGTGAAAAATAATAAAATATGAACAAAAGTATTCTCTAGATGCACCAATAATAATAAAAACAAAAATAATAATAATAAAAAAAAAAAACAAAAACAAAAACAAAATTTTATACTATTTTAAACCTGGTCTTAATCTTTTCAACATTTTAATGCATTTTCTGCTCTTTGTTTTTATCATCGTACAGTGTTTTAATAATATATCTTAATACGTTTTACTGTCTTTTAATGTTTTTGTAGTATATTTTATTGTTCTGATAACGTTTTACTTCATTTTAATGTTTTATTCGTTTCAATGTTTTTACTGTTCCGTTTGGAACATTTTAAAGTTTCCAGTCTGTTTTTAACTATTTATGTTTGATCGCTTAGCTTCAAAGCACATTTCTGTTATATTTATGTATAACAGACTGAATAAAATGAATTGAATTTAATTGAAAACAAAACCAGATGGAGATTTGAACCCCATACACTCTATTAAATGTACACTTAATATGGTGCAACAGGGTGAGGGTTTGTAATTTCAGATTATCTTGTTATCTATTAGAATTGGATTCCCTACTTCAAGAAAAGAAATCCTGCATAACATCGACCCATTGGAAGTTACAGCTACGAGCACTTACACCGATTCCCCTTTTAACGTCTCCATTGAAGCAGCGATTCGGGAAGGGGACTGGAAACTTCATACAGGTGAAGATGGTAAGTTAAGTATTTTACGAATGTGTTCTGCCACGGTTACGTCACAAGGCATCATTTTGGTGGTTAGCTTCCTTACAATTCAAAGACTCCGGTTCGAAACTGACAAAAGTGAGATTCCTATGTTTATTATAACATGTGGTATTACTGGATACACATTATATAAAATTTTTACATATTATACATTGTATTCATTTATATATCTTATGAATTTTAAATAATTCTAATTACCATATTATATTTATCCTGAATTAGGAATGGCTGGATGGTATGCTCCACCGGACACGTCACTGGAAACCGTCAACGGTGTTACTGGAAGCGACCAGGTCGTCTGGCTCTTCAATATAAAAAATGACCCACTAGAAAAGAATGACCTCTCCACAAAGCACCCTAAAGTTGTTAAGAAATTGTTGAAGAAACTTGCAAAGTACCAATCAGAGGCCGTCCCACCCTTGTATCCCCCTCTTGTCCCGGATCTCGCTAACCCTTGTACAAATGGCAATGAGTGCTTCTGGGGTCCATGGGTCTAACCTATATAACAGCCTTAGGCTATACAACAACTTTTTCAATGTTTTTATTTGTTCAATAAAATTGTTTCATTTTTTTTGTGCATTTAATGAAACCTTCTGGGGCTCGAATAATTTGTACAGTTGTTTTAATTGTCTTTACAAAACCTTTGGCAGCTGCCAAGTGGCAAATTACGCGTTATTCGTGATAGGCCTATTGCTTGTTTTGTGTTACCATGTGACAATATCGAGATTGCTGATGATCCAACACCAATCTTCAATAGCATTTACAATATCTTATTGCCATTGTCTTCCCAATAACAGTAACATATTGGGCCTACGCTATGAATCATTTTCTTGTAAAACACCATTAGACCTTTTTTAACGGCTTTTATATTATTCAGTTAGTACAGTCACGTACAGTGGGTTTAGTAGTTGCTAACTTCTCAATACAACATATGTTAGTGTTTTAGTCCAACTTAAATTAAGATCATCGTCACAAAGAACTTAAATAACAAAAGAATGAGCTGTTCCTCGTATTTGCATTAAAATTGATGGAATATCCACCCCTCCCACGAGCGGGGTAAAATTTGACCATTTGACTAAGTGGAGAAACTACAGAAAACAAACGAACCAGAGCGGCACCTTTATTATTGATGTATAGCGGACAGGGTAAAATTGCTGTCCGTCTACCCACAATGCATTTGGAACGGGCTTCAATTCAAGATGGGTCTCGAGATAAAGCCCATTTGGCTTCAACTTGAGGTTTTACGGTAGGTCAATAACGTACGCGTACGGTACGGTACTCAACAAAACGGAAAACGTGGGGTTTTATACCGGTGTGAACAGGTTTTATATATTAAATCACTGTCCTTTGATCTGTTTCCCACCAACGTATCTGCTGTATGCATAGGACTATTATAGGCATAATAAAAAAGAAACAGTTTATACAAATAATATATGACATTGACCGGAATCGACTGGTCATTCTTTGTTAAAGCAGGCCCACCTGCGCAGTGGTAAAATCCTACTTAACGAAGCCGACCAGTCGAATAGAAAATTGGTAAATGTTCGACAAAAAAAATGCCTGCATAGTTAACGCGATACACGCTGCGTAATCAAGGTTGCTTTGTGGCAGTATGGGTTTTTCGTAAAAAATGTTTTCATTCAGTTTTTGAATTCTGTTAGCCTACAATTATTTTTTGACTTCAATGTGGGAAAATACTATAATTTTTATTTTCTGAAATTTAATCTAAATTATATATAACGCAAATGTTGTTGCTAAACTGACCAATCGGCCATATTTTTTTTTGGTTACGTACAGAACTTAACGCTGATTAACGCATTCTGGTTACGTTAATTTTCGTTGTCAACAAAGTATATTTTACGAACCAGTCGAATAAAAATAATACTCAACGAAAATTCGTACTCAACGAAATGAACCAGTCGAATAAGCCTATTACTATTAAGAATATACTTTATTGCCCACACTTGAATAACAACAACTAATGTAAAGTTGCTGTTGATGATTTTGTAGGTTAAACCTATTGCACATTATGTAAATATTTCGTTAATGACGCATTATGCGTGCATTATGTGTGTATTGTTTTTTTTTTTTTACAATTTTACGTAGTGTATCAAACAAAAAATTTCCAATTGTATGTTTTATATAATTTGGAGAAATACAGTTTTTTGAATTTTTTTGATAACTATTTAAGCACCGGTTTATCTTCAAGGCAGCAAATGTTACGGTTAATAACGCCATGTATTATGATGAATAACAACCACGTGACAAATATCAAGATAAAAAGACACGAGGTATTGATTAATGGCAAAAAGTAATTTCGTAGTCAGAACTGCGCATGCGCGCATTGAAGGTCAATCGACAAAAGCCTATGTTTTGTGTTTGTGGTGTATTGACCTTGATATGGGCATGCGCAGTACAGTCTACGAATTGGCTTATTGCTTTATGTGTGACCCACCCCCTCCCCCCAACACCTTCTACCGTGTGACCATTGCGTACATTGGCGCGTCTTAATAGGCTAATTACCGGCATCATACTTCAGAATGTTAAATTTTCTACAAGCGCCTAGATGAAACTGGGTCACAAAATATTAAGGCATGGACTGCTAAATTTGGATATCAGAGTTGAGAGTCCTGAAATGAAATTTGTGACATTTAGTATGGGAGACTGACAGGCATAATTATGTAGGCATTTATGTAGACAACATCATAGTGTTTTATATCAACATTATAATAACATAGACGATTACATTTTGTAAAGGTTACGCGTAAGTGTTAAAGGAAAACAAACGAGAAAATGCATGCATTTACAATCGGCAGTATCATTCGTGGTTATGTGTTGATAAGGATTTGGTAGTACATAGAATCTACGTCATATCTCAACATTACTTAAGTATACAAAGCTAGTAGATTTATTAACGTTTGTCTTGTCATGTTTACGAATTACACCATCGTTTTTCATGATACTCTGGATATAAAATTACATCTCATGTACTACTCAACCTCTGACATTGATCTCAGCACGGATGTATCCTCAATAAGATATCCCTGTACTTCAAGTATTTCTAACACTCAGATATTGATACGAATTGCTTAGATTACAGATGGTAAAAAAATAATGCATTCATTTTCTCACTATCATATTCCTGTCTCTTATACACATCTAGATGTGTATAAGAGACAGGGACTATTATAGGCATAATAAAAAAGAAACAGAGTTTTCAGTTGGGCCATTTTAATAGTAAATTTGACAGTACACCAGGAGACAAACCCCTGCACTTTTTCGAAGAGTGTACTGGGTTTTGAACGTACACACGGACAATATTGCACATGAAACTAACAATTTAAATATCTTATTTGACTGTGCACTATTGAAAGCTGCATTTCCGTGCTTCGGTTAAAAAAAGAACAAAAAAAAAAAAATAAATAAATAAACACATTGTTAAAAAAATGATGAGGATCATTTTCGTTGATAGACTATACCTGATACGATGTTTTACATCATTGTTTACTTATTTGCGCACAGTTTCTACTATTATTCACTGACTATCAAGTCTATGCTGCACCATTGCTGCACCGTCAGCATAAAACCAGCTGTGACCATTAGAGTACGCTTTAGCTTCCACCAAGCCCAATGCATGAGGGCTTTATCAGTTGTTAGAATATGTCTTCGCTGAATTTTTCGACATACCAACAGACCCTTGTGGTCTAGTGGCATGACACTAGCTTTGACAGAGAGAAACTTCTGTTTATTGGGTTGATTAATTTAATTAGTGAGGAAGCATCACATTTTGATATTATAAGTAAGTTAGATACATCTGTCTATTTGCTAAGAGATATGTAAATTTAGGCCTATATCTTCTTTTTTATTTTAATACTTTTTTTGTGTTCATTTTTTCGATGTTAATTTTATCAAATATGTTTTGATGAATTAATGAACATATTGAAATGAATATATATATATATATATATATATATATATTTATTTATATCTTCTTATATATCTGTATATCATTTTTAGTTTTGACAAAAGATGCAACAATTGTTGTTTCGTTGCTACCTTATTATCTGCTCTGTAATTCTTAATACATCGTTATTTTTGGTTGTACTGTATATGTTTTTGTAAGTGTTTATTTTGTGTTCAAGGTTTAATAACGACTTTTATCCCGGTACCCGGAGTAGGATAGGAAGTCCCTAGCCCAGTTTATAGCGTCATATATATTCTGTTCATCTGTCGACGATTCAAAATCTCTCAAACGACTTCGTGATTTATATCTCTGAAAGATAAAACAATAAAAATATTTAACTTATAAGCAGATTGTAATATTAGGATAGATGATAATATAATGTTTTAAATCCAGTAGGTCTATATAGGCCTAGTGCTATACTATTTTAGATAGCATTATAAGCACAACATGATACAATGTAATTAATAATAAATTTATGACTATGATTCAATTCGTAGACGTCTGATGAAGATAGCCTATAATAGTAACTATACAATACCAAGACTACCTTAGACTTTAGATTGGTATTTTAGAAAGTATACACAATATACACACAGTATAGCTAGCCTATTATAGGCCTATATAAAGTTTTAAACTAAGGCGGCATATCAGTTACCGTAGGCGAACACTGGTAGTACTCAGGAAGTCACTAGTTAGACTCTTATGCTGCAATACTTTACTGAAATTTAGGCCTACTGTTTAGTTCATTTCTACGTAAAGTTTTGTTTCCATAATATCTCTGCACTGTCGCTACATCTTCTTTAATAGCTGTCCCCAACGCAATAGTGGAGGCTCCCCGATTTGACCTTACGATCACCGTCACCGACTGCTATCGGTGATTGCATTTGGCAATTAATTAAATCAGGTTTCAAACTAAAGTCTTTAATATGGATACCTTCTCATTCTTGACTTGATTGTAATTATTGGTATATTGACGTCCTCCTTTTTGGAATTCTGGCTGTTGATTCATACCGTGTAAAACTAACTGCCATGATATAAGTGCTCCTGAATTATCTTCACTTGAACCCTGTAAACATGAATTATTTAATTAATGATTTAATCACTAATTCTGTCAACCATTTTAAAAATACTGTTCAGCTACAACTATATAGGCCTAGGCCATGTCAATTAGGCTACCTTAATAAAAGTGGCTTCAAATCATTCAATTATTTTAAAATATACAAAGATTTCATGCTCATGATTTTTCATTTGATTCATGTGATCATATTTGCTAACCTTATCTTCAATTGAGAGTTCCCATTGACCACCATTTGCGGCTGGATTTTCACCCCATGTGTGAACTGACATAAACGCCCAGTTCCGAAAACCTTCCCGTGATTCATCCGTCTCACGAGGCTCCAATAAATTTGTTGAAGTACCTGTGATGACAATAGTAACTCATAGAACTTTATAGTGGAAAATCAACCTAAATATGCGTTCGGTTGTTGCACACCAATTGAGCAATCGCATTGTGTCCTGGATCTCAGACTACTCTTATAAAGAAACTGTCCATAGAAATACATAATACTTATTTTTAGGTCTAAGTGGTAACTAATTAAGAGAGTAACGCGTTGTCTTTGTATCATTTCGTCGACATTAGATATTTAATCAAAATGCTGCGGATTGATGATACACTGGTTTTGAAAATACATTAAACTCACGACTAATTTGCGACTGCGCTTGAAGTATAAACATTCCGTTTGTTCTGACACATAACTTAATCCTCTGTTTATAATCACGCGTAATGAATCAAGACTAGGCGTACTTACTGATACATACGCCTACGTGAGTTATAGGATAATATTAAAAAAGCTCTTTGTTTCATTAATAGAAGAGATCTCATTGCTTGTCCTCAGAAGTTGTAATTGTTATCATTATCATCGTTATAGACATTATCAATATACTGTAGGGCCTAATTATAAATATTATCAAACTCAGTATCTTTATCAGGCCTCGGTATTGTCGTCATCATATTCATCATCGTAATCATAAATCTAATCGTAATGAACATAAAACAATACAATTAAAAGATATCAAATTAGTTTCTACTTTTAAAACCTAAAATATAAATCAATAAACGAATGAAAATATACAATATAGGCCTAAATACTTATGTAATCATTAACGTGCATTGAAATAATAAATCAAACATTCAAATATTTGAAACAGAAGGATAAAATAGCAAGTAAGATTAAGCGATAAAGATTCATTATTTAAAGTAATTCTTTCGTTACGATAAAAACTTATTTTTCATGCAGTATATAGAAAATTATACGAAGCCAAGGATATCAAATTGGAAATACCATGACTTATTTTGATGTTGTCATTATATAAAACAATTCGAATCACTTGAAAGGTTTGTCTTAAACTTAAAAATTAATCATAATGCTTTAAATAATTGTATAAAAGAAGATAATATGTACCGTATTTATCTTATCAAATGTCGCTAAGAAGAAATTGCGATGGGCTCTTCAATATTTTTGTAAAAAATATATTGCTATTAGAAACGGATTTGATTCCAAGCCTTTATGGCTGTTAATAAAATGTACTTTAATTAAAAATGACACGTAAAATCATGTCATTTTGAATTAGAAACAAAGAAATTATAGAAACTGCTACGGGTAACTGTGGTCATGCACGTTACTGACTCAAATCTGTCGTAATAAATATTATGAACATTGTGAAGTTTTACAAGGATAGAGTGTTTTGTCCAAAGACACAAGCAATTCAACCACATTGCGTTTCGAATTCAAGACCATTGTTTGAAAGTGGAATACTGTATACTGTACCACTGCGTCACAACTACGACCTGAAAACTGATGACGCACTTGGAAACGGCATTAAAACCCACGACTATTTGCAAGTGCATTTGAAGTAAACATTGCGTATTTTTGAAAACATGAACATCAATCCTTTGTTTATGATGCATAATTTCACTTTTAAAAATGTAAAAACCACTAGCTTTCACTATACTTAAATGAGTATAGAGATTATTTCAATTTCAATTTTTTTCAAAATACCTCCAGAGATGGAGAAAACATACAATAAAAATATTACAAAATATTTTAATTGTATTACAATGACACTGCATTGTATAACACTTACAGAAAATTAATGATATTGGATTTTATTGAGCATGTTAGTTTAGTGATCGCAATAAAATTATGAGAACATCCTACTATACAGAGTACCGTAATTGCATGTGATGTAAGGCTATGTAATATGAAGACCATTTACAACAAGAAATGTAATGTAATGTAAGAAATGTATAGTATCATTTAAAATATTTCGTTAAGTTAAAATCTTAACGAAATATTTTAAATGATACTATATGTATGCCTGTATACAACTAACAGCTAACAGACTTTAAGCATACTCTATCTGGATGGAAAGTCGTAATAATGTGAAGTTCAGGTCTATGTGGATATAAAGCCGTCCTCATGGCAACACTTTACGCAAAAGGACGGGGAGCCGTCGACAACGGCAATTCGCGTTAAGCGCCCAAGTGTTTACCGCAGTCTTCACGCTCTGATAAGCACAGAACCACCGTCCACCCGTCTTCCCGTCCTGTTGCGTAAATTGCCTAATAAAATTAGAAGTATAATAGGAGATGTAGAAAGTAAACCAGAATGATAGGAAAGCACAGGGTAAGCCTTGACTGACACGATATTTAAGAAACTCAATATTTCATTCACATCAGTTTTTGCGAAGTTACGAAGTTGTTAGAACTTAAACAGTAGATTAAGCAAACATAAATCATCTCTTAGATGAGAAAATTCATGTGTTTCGGGTAATAAAATACCATGTCTGCATATCTGAGAGAATAGAAAGGGTTTCTGAACATTTCCTCCTCTGGAAAATGTAATAGTATAAAATTATTGATATTGTGTGTAAGTCATTTTTTTATAAACCGATTAACAAAAATTACCTAACACATATGCTGAAATAAAGCTATCTTTTCTGTTTATGGTTACGAAGAATACATATTAAAAAAAGAGACTACGCTAAAATATGTTGTCAACATTTTTCATACCTTCTGGTGACGTCAGAGTAATTTTAAGATTTCCTCTTCGTGTGTAGTTAAGTGTAAGAATGACTTGTACATGTTCTAATACAGTTACTTCACTTTCCGACCCAGCACAACCGTCCGTATTTATAACCATTGACAGTTTATTTAGCTTTGAAAATATCCTAGAAAATCGTAATAAATTACAAATATATACTATGTAAAAAATCTATCAAATATGTCAATAGTCAATTTTAAAAGGAATCAATGAATTTAAATCGAAATTCTTTTTGATAAAAACGATTGCACAATAGAAATCAGGCATAATTTTCTCTTTTTGATTTTTACTATTCATACTGACTTTTTTTGTGATATTTTTGTCTAAGTGATTTTATGCGTACACATTGTTTTTACATTAGTACTTTATTATGTCAATAACAACTGAAAATCCAGCAGAAAATTGTGTAATTTGCAGTATATAATTAAGCAGTTTATCTGAAAGTGTTCATACCATATCTGTAGTAAGAATAAAAATAGTGATAAAATGTTCAACCTCAATTTTTATTCTTATTATTATCTACACCAGTTTACCATCGAGCAGCCCATTGGCGAAACGTTGATAGTTCCATTTTTTGGTGTAATATAGGCCTCTCTATATATAGGTTGCTCTAACTGAGATTCGAATCCGAGATCTTCTGCTTCCCGTGCAGATTCCTAAATTCTATTCACTGGGGCGTCGTTGGGAAGTCTAATTTGATTAAAAAGCAACTACATTTGCACACTCAGATGAGTGGAACGACGCTAGTTCTCGATGCATTGCAAATCATGTTCAATATAATACGCCCTCACCTTAATCGACGGGATCTCCGAGAAGATAAGTTTAATTAAAAAAAAATCTTTGTACTGTACTCATCTGACTCAGTCTTACCTATGTTCCCATTTGCTTTTATCTGGCCCACTTTCACATATTCTTTTCGGAGGAACAGATTGCCACACTGAAGGGTCAGCCATCTCGACAATTGCGTGTGCGTTGAGAAGTCCAAACCCAAAGTTTGAGTTTACTTTCAAACCTATTCCATTGGTTAACCATCCGTCGTTTGATTCTAATGGTGCGTATTCAGAAGTCCAGACGATGATATGTTGGATGTCGCGCCAAGTAAGATTGGGGCTATTGGAAAATACCATACACAGATTTATAGCTACTCTTATCATTGTAAGTATCATTACTATTACGGTAGTTATCTATACAAAACAATTTTATTATGACCTTACTTGACTTCCAGTGCTAAGGCAAGAATACCAGCTGCCATGGGCGCCGATGCCGACGTGCCGCTGTGCTGGGTCGTGCACGTATCATCCAAGTCAGTCGTTATCACCTGTTGTGAGTTGGTGAAATCGCTACTGAACGTTGACGCAAGAGTTGACGGGCAGCGTTCGCCGTACCACGTCAATTGGCCATCGGATGACGCGCTTGATATCGATATGGTGTAAATGCTATCAGCGTAGCCGTCACAATTACAATTGTCATTGTTCCTACCACCGTTACCGGAAGCCCAAACGTATAGAACACCCTTTCCATCTCGACCCTGATAAAGTAAATACATATTGGTTTTAAGTTGTGATGTTGTGTTGTGACATTATTTATTGTATCAGCTAAGGAGACTTATGCACTAACAATCGACGACTTAAAAGTGGTTCACATAAATCAACCAAAAAAAAAAAAAAAAAAAAAAAAAAAAACGAAAGCAAAAAAAAAAAAAAAAAAAAAAAAAAATTTAAAAATTTAAAAAACCACAGAAAACGTTAAAATAAATCAGGATCACTATGATCTGCTCAGATAAGGGCACATAAAAAAATTATTAGATTATCACTCTTTTTACTTTTTAAAGGGGATGAGGGCGGGACGGTATTTTTTTCCCCTTTTTTTAAAAATCGGAACAATAAAATATTGCTTTTTTTTTTAAATAGATGAGGGAGAGATTGTTTTTATTTAGCAAGAATATTGTATATATATTGTAAAAACTAGTTTAATTTTATTGTTTTTTAAGGAAAATTTATTTCCAGTCACAAAATCGCATTGATTTTTATGCTGTTGAAATAAATGATGCGGCAAAAATAAACAATTCTTTTTATTCCCGCATTATATTTCCCCAAATTTTTGACGCGGGAGGGAGTGATAATCTAATATTTGTTTTCTATGTGCCCTAAATATATACGGCTTTGTAATGAATATGATTAAAATTAATAACAATATTATTGATAATATTAAATATATCAATTTTATTTAACATAATGATGGTTGGTAGACCTATAAAATAAAGACGGGTATATAACTAGCCAGTAAAATATATATTTTACAAAGAATTGTTATGTTTTACACATCAGCGTTCGCACTCCACCCCTAAAATAAAAGATAAGCAACTTCAAGTTATTATAGCCACATAAATATGGTCATATGTGTTATATTCTTAAATTATCTTTTAATATTTTGTATTTATTTGAGCGTATTTTATCTAAAGAAAACATCTCATCATGCAAACTTAAATTCATGAAGACTCAATGATTATTAGCTTACCACTCTTATACCTTTCTGAATTGCTTTTGATGCTAGATTACCTGGGCCCTCTACCGTCTTCCCATCGTCACTAGGCCCCCAACTTGCGCTAAATATATCAATATGACCCAGTGCGTGGCTGAAGGCAGCGGCTTCTAGTGCGTCTGTAACTTTTCCATCGAGCATCCGAATCCCTAATTACAAATATTTTCACAAGTTCATTTTCACAAGTTTCCGTATAGTACAAATCAGTAATTGATATGAGAGAAGGCGTTTGAATAAATTGTCACTTGGAATTCAATGGTTGCCAACATAGCGAACGCTCGTCTAACAGATTTGTTAGTCTAAACAAGATAGCCAAACTTTTTATTTGTATTTCTTATATTTTACTAATCTACTCCTATTTTTACTCACAGTAAAAAGCCTAGTAGACCTAATATTTGATTAATATGACTCCTACTTTACTTAACATTTATATAATAGACATATTACTAGTCCAACCCAAATGCTCATTTAAATTCAATAGGCACACTTTGTTGGGGTTAAAGAACGCAGTCACAAGCATTGAAACCCATAACAATTTAAGATTCATTCGATAACAGACAGAAAAGCTTGACTAGATTTCACTGTGCCAGTGCAGTACTATCGCCGATAACAGTATTCATATACACCAGACCAACGGCGTTAACGTTCTGTCCAGAAAACGTGATTTGAGTAAAATGTCTTACACAAATGAAACTGGTCGTTTCCAGCAGGTACCGAACATGAGCTACAAATCCCGATTTATGTTTGTTTGTACAGTACTTGCTATAGGCCTATACCCTGACTGACTAGGAATTTTCATGTGTTACGCTACACCGATTACTACACTTAATAATAGCCTTTTAAATACTTTCTCAATTATATTATGAACTAAATATCGACAACAAGTCGAAGGCCTAAAGCCGGCCGCATGCCATTATTATAATGCTCGGTTATTCCTAAAGCCGGTATATGGCAGTATTATAATTCTCGGTTGTGAATGCCAAGAAAAATAATATTCTCATTAGAGTGCTTTACGTATCTTGTAACACTAAATGCAAATAAAAAAAACAAAAAAAACAAAAACGTACATTCTTGTTTTTCTCAAAGGGTGCCATTACTTATAAAATAGAAATATATCTCTGTAATTGAAATAAAAATCAATAAACATGTATCTTATATTGAGGCCTTTGGGAGAAGGAAAATGTTCTTGTAATTTCTTTTTAAGAAGGTGGATTATAACATAACAAGACTAACCTCCGATTTTCGCATTGAAAGCAATTCCAACTCCACAAATCAAGTTGTTTGCTTGCATAGAAACTTCGCCAGCACATCGTGTTCCGTGGCTAAGTAACATAACAAAATGGGAAAAAAACTTTAATGAAGCAAGTTCACTGCATAGCCAGGCGTTTAGTTTGGCTTTAGTGGATCTAACAGCGTCAGCAGCATGCAAGTGAAACTAGGCCGGCGCGCTGCCATCACGGCCTATTGTTACGATGAAAATCGCAGGATGGGCTTATTTCTGTAAACAAAATCAAGGAGAGTGAATAAGAGAGGAAGGAAAACAAAACAAAGAAGAAGAGGAAGAAGAAGTAGCAGCAGAAATTGATAATGATAATGATGGTGATGGTGATGGTGATGATGATGATGATGATGATGATGATGATGATGATGATAATGATGCTACTGCTGCTGATAATAATGCTGATGCTAGGAAAAATGAAAAGGAGAAGGAGAAAGAGAAGTAAGTGAAGGAGGAAGCGGGACAGAAGGAGAATAAGGAGAATAAGGAGAGGGCGAGGAAGACAGGGAAAGAGAGGGTTAAGAAAGAAAGGGCAAAAGAGTAGAAGAAAGAAACATGGACAAAATTAGAGGAACAGAAAAGGAAGATAAGCAGGAGAAAACAGAGTAAAAATGAAGTAGTACATTTAAATCTAAAAATATCGCTATATACTTCCATTTCATCATGGTAATAATCAAAAAATACTGTTCATGTTGAGCTGAAATCAGAGATTTTAGAAATGAATCCATAAGAATGTCAATCCTGAAGATAATGAGGAGAAAACAAACACACAACTAAATGAAAACACCATAAGAGGTGTAGAAAACACACCACGTCATTCAAGTAATCATGGCACTTGTCAGGTGGTGCTGGCAGACCACAGAGTAACTTATTAAGTTAATTGAGGGTAGACTTAAGGAAAAGACATCTCTGCCTTAATAGTTATGAGGATCTCATGTATCTTCAAAGAAATTGCTAACGATAAGGTGCCATTGGTAAATCTATTTTAATTGTATGTATGTCCTCCTGATTAATGCACCATAACTAGTCACAAGACCCTAACATAAATAGTATGTTAACTATATCATTTTTTAAATAAAGTTTAAATAGGCCTATATATTGCACTTCGAAAAGAGCTATGAGTTATGTATTGCGTGCTATACCATTAGGTAAATCATTTTAGATAACTAGCTTTTGAAAACCTTGGCAATAATGTTGACATATTTTAATATGTGCAGTTCATTTTATGTATTCAATTTAATTGTTATTTATCACATAGCAGCTGGGCTAAATGATATTTACATATAAATACATCATTAAAACACAATACAGTATATCTGAATGAATGAAAGACCATGCAGTCATTTTACAAAATATAAGCATATAAGAAAATATCTATGTTGTAATATTAGTCTTTCATTTTCTATTTTCTAAGATTGGTCTTAATGGAATTTCTTTCCACTTTTTGTTGTGTTTCAGCATGAGTTGAAAAGTATTACTTTGTGTCGCAGGAGGCGAGTACAAGAGGACACAAAGAAAGCAACACCGGATAGGATGGAAATTGTTATTTTAATATGAACAAAACAATTTAATATATAGTTAACTCAAAATGTGTAATGGGGCAGCCAATAATTGATGTCGTTATAACATCTGAACATTTTATAGAATATAAACATAAGGCTGCCCCTAAATATATAGAGTATATATAAGTATATAAGTATATATAAATAAGTATATATAAATATATAAGATAAATATAAAGAGTAGGCCTATATATAAATATATAAGTTCAGACTGTTACATTCGACATACACTTGACACGTGGTCAATACATAAAATACTTCAATGGCGACTACAACAAAAATCATACATGAAGAGTTGTGGACGAACTCAAGAGTTGTCCAAAGCTCATTCCACGCACACACACTTTTAAATTTTATCTGACAATCTGTGTGATGTTTCCATGGCGATGTCATTACAACCAAATATGGGCATATCACATTTTTCTGTCACATAAAATGTTATAGTAAGGACAGAGCTTTAGTTTGTGTTATTCTATAATTTCCATCTCATGAATAATATAAATACTGCATCCAAAACAACTTTTAAGCCGGACACTGACTGCGCCCGATGGTTGTCGGCCGACGCGATTCTATGAAGAACGCAACGCGACGACGCCCGCCCAGCGCAACGGATCGTTTTTAATGACGATCCGTTCAGACTGAAGCTGCCACCGACAATCAGCAGACGGCGTCGCGTCGTCTAGCGCTCACGTGGAGCGGAGTTGGATTCGTCGTGCGACGGTCGTACGACGCTGTGAGTGCCGGCTTTACTCAGTGTGTGCTGTAGAATGAAATTCATGTATAGCTTACCATCCGGTTGTGATAGACGACCTCAGGATTTGTGATTTTTTTGTGTTCAGTCTAATCAAATAGTATGCACTGATTTTTCTGTCATAACATTTTGTCTAATGCTTCATGTAATCTTTATAATCTGTTTAATGATATCACATGTATTTTAGTATGATCTATTAATGTTGATAATCTCCTTTAACAACCCTAGAATAATGAAATTAAGACACCTGTGTAAACATTGTAGGATTTGAACTGTGCGATCCATTAGGCCTACAAGTTAAATAAGACGTTAATGGCGTATCTGCATTCATAGAGTAAATACACCTTAGGCCTATGTCCACAAAAATGATACCTATGCTTTATAGAATATTTGCCGCGTGTTGTGTAGTATTAGCTAATGTATTTTTTACTGAGAAATGTCAACATTTACTATAATTATACGTGATTTTGTAATCCAAGTCTGAATAAGGATTAAATAATTGTCCTGTTAATTATCATGAGTAGCGTTCTTAAGGATTAGATACGGGTTTGTAAGGCATATTTACATTAGATTAGATTTAATCCTCTGCTCATCTAGATTCAGATTTGTGTGTA